GCATGACACACAGAAGTTTTGAGGTTATATTTACAGAGTTATAACTTTCTTTCAAAAGGAAGAGTAAAATATAACATAGCATAGAGAAATCACAATGCCAAGTAGACTCATGAAAAATAGCAACCATCTGATAGCAACAGAGCTTTATTTAGCATTGAAGGTCATGAGAAGAACTGAGGCTAAAAGCTGAAGGCAGACAAATTCTAATCTGAAATACAGAACAAGTGTTTAGCAGCAAGGTAGCTAAAACTTGAAAACACTATAAAGGCAAACCAGGTACTCGCATGTCTTCAAACAAAAGTGAATACCTTTCTAAAAGACACAATTCAGTGTAATCTAAGTTACCAGGTACCTGAAAGAAACATGTATGATATATGGGAGGTCAGTTTGGATGAATTGCTAATTTTACCTATCTTTAAACCCTATGAAAATAAATCATTACTCAAAAGCAAGTCCTAGCTCACTAATATAATTTGCCTTACATTTTCAGTGCTTCTGAGTTTTTTCAGTGAGAGCAATGTTAATCACTCAGTTAAAGCATTCAGTTAAAAATCCCACTAGAGTCTGAAGTTGGCAAGTAGCCACCGTGTTCCCTGTCTTCTTTCACAACACCATCCTCTTGGTAACAGAAGGCATTTACTTAAATAAGATGGAATGAGATTTCCACAAACAGCAGAGTTATCAGCTGCTAATAGCTAGGCTTGTTGCTTGCTTGTATTTATACCCCAGAACACTGCTGCTTCAAAAGCTAGACTCAGATAATCACCTACAGAATACAGATTAAAACTGACATCAGTTTATTCAGCCTATGTTTTTTGCATATGTGTGTGCAAGGCTAAGTGGTATCTTCTAGTTCAGCTGACCTAACCCTGCACGTGCTACATACAGGTGTTGCTGACACCAACTTCAAGAAAACTACAACCAGGCAAGAACAGCTCAGAATCCCTTCTGACTGATACACCAGGAACAGAATTACCAGCTAATCATTTCCAATCAAATCAGAAATTATATCACTGCCAACGAGAAAAATTATTTTATGACTCGCACTCAAGCAATCTGTAGCTTTTTTATTGTTATTGTTCTTTTTAACAATATAACTGCACTCACTTTAACTGGTATATTGAAATAGGGAAGTAACAGCAAGTCCTTAAACAGCATACACAAGTTGACAGTTAAACTTTGAATATTTTGCAGTGCTTAGATCCAGGCTTCTGCCTCTTTGTCTGCTGGCAGACTGGATTCTGAACTCACAATTAGATTCATTACAGAGTGTCACTGTATAGCATGGCAGTACATGACATGACATTGTATTGCAATGTAAAGGCAATTGAGGGATATTTTTGGGTTTGCAGTCCACTCCCTCCACAGCACAGAGCATACTGAAGCAACTAAAGGAGGAAACTCTAGAGTTTCCTTGCTAAATCTCTGACTGTCCAATGCTTTTGAATCATCAAATTTAATTTCTTAAGTCTGAACGTGGAATTAAAGAGTGAGCAAGTAAATGGATTCTCTTCATCCCTGAACACTTAAAGTTTATAAAAGCAAAGAATTTTTCTCCATGGCACCCTTGGGCAGCCTGGAGATCTCCTCTGACAATAAAAGAGAAGCAGTTCTGCCTTCACTAGGGTCTCCTCCAAAAACTTCTGTGCTTGCAGAGGCCATTAGATGCAAAGATACCAGGGAAACAGAACAGCGATTTACATTGACAAAGAGGATTTTGATACACTCCTCCAAATGGGGCAGCATTACCATCTTAATAGCCTTTTGCTCTCAGCCCTCTTCCTGAGGACGCTGGAGATTTTTGCGAATGGAGAACAGTTCCGCTTCTCATTTTAACTGCAACAATAGCAGAAGGGCTCCTTAAACTGCATCAAATAGCAGTCTGCGAAATCCCTAACTAGCCACACTGCCTCTCCTGCCGTTTTATTATCCTCCAGTCCACAGAACAAAGAGGGAGGGAGCTACTCCTCTTTTTTTTTTTTTAGCCTATTCCACACATCCTAATCCCTCAGAGGTGGCAATGGAAATTGCCTGTGGAACTGTTAAATCACACTTTCACTTTGTCTTTCATTCCCCATTCACCCTCGCTAATCAAGGAGCTTCCAGCCACATTTTCCGATATCAATTTGTTTATGGCCTATTGGTTAATGGTCCCGGGATGGGACCCCCTGAGTAAAAAGAAAGAATCCTGGGCACTTCAGCCAGCTGCTGCTTCTCACCAGTTCCCACACCCATCCACTTGTTCTCATCAGCCACACTGAATGTGCTCACCTCCTGACACCAACTGAATTAAACAACAAAGCCTGAATGGGAGAGTTGCATTTGCAGTCAGGCTGTGGGACAGATTCCACTTGCTAGTGCTACATGATGTCTCTTAAGCAGCAACACAGAGATACTCCATCACCAGCTGATCCATGGCCAGTTACCTTGCTCTCATCTTACCTTGTATCCAGCTTCCCTTTGGAAAGAAGCACCAACTACAACTCCCAGGAAAACTCTAGCTTCTCTTGCACAAGGCAGCCTGGTGCCACTTTCTGCATCTAATCCAAACCAGCCATTTCCTGGTGATTTGCTCACTTCCTCTTTCTACAGAAATAATGATCACTGAAATGTGGGATGAGAACATGCAATATTTACTTTGCACAGGTCAGGGAGATGGCTTACATGTAAGTGCTTAGAAGTTTCTTCTAAAACACTTGAGGCACATTATCAGGGGAATCATGCCCTTCCTTGCTACCCGTGTTGGAGAAAAATATTTGAAGTAGAAACATAATGGTGTAGTCAACGTAATGGCTCGGGCCCGGGCACGGAGAGGAGCGGGAGAGTGGGAGTTTCGCCTGTGTGGACAGTGCCATCGTGGGAGATGAGAGGGGGAGCCCCAGAACACACAGAAGAGAAGGACAACTCTAAACCCGGGCAGATGGAGCTCGTTCAGCCCTGTAAGGCCATCCATCTAAGAGAAGGTCACTCTAAACAAACCTACATCCTGAGGACCTCGCTGCCACCATCCAAGCTCGCTCGGCCCCGGCAGATGAACCTTAGGATTAAAGGGTGGGCTCAGTTCAGCGCACACTGTGTCTCACCTAAAAAATCCACTGCGCAGGCTCAAAGGCCTTACCCACATTTGCAAAGCCCTGTATCACCAGCGCGCTTGTAGCAAACATGGGTAGAGACCTTTCCCAAATCTTTGTTCACGAAGACTGGCCATGATGATGATACGAGTCAACGTAACAAAAGGCTCACACAAAGACAAGCTTCTAGCTGCCTTCCAAAATGTACAAAGAATGCCTGATCTTGAGATATCATTTATTTAAAGAAATCCAAACTGGTATCTCATCTGTTTTTAGAAAAATGGTAAATGATGTTTTAAATTTACACCCCAGAAACATACAGATATAGGGAAATCAGCAATTGCCACACTCCTAATACAGTGATACCCTTCTATCAGAAAGTGCTGTTCCATCATCATTAAGTGTAAACAGGCCCATTTGTTCTTTAAAGGTAGGGTTCAGTCCTGGGAAAGCTATATTCATGGCCCACAGAAAAGAACTGAAAAAATAAACATCCTCTCTGAACAAATGCTCTCTGTTTCTGAAATGGGAAAACTTTCTTTCCCAAAGTTTCACTACATTAGTGCCTGAGGACAGAGCAGGAAACTGATTTTTTTTATAATAACCAGAAACATCTATGTAACCCAGAAGACATCCAAGATAGAAAAGTAGCTTATCTTCAGCCCTACACTGAAACAAAACATGTCAAGAACAACTCTTGCAAGTAACCTCAGTTTAAACTAATAAAATTTTTTTCTAGTTCCTATAGACTTTTACAATTACTGGTACCAAATAAGGCAGATCAAATGCCCAAAATGCTATCTAAGAATACACTGAATATAGTATCTAAAGGCTTAGAAACACAGGATGGACCCCTGTCCCCATTATCATTATGTAGATGTACCAAATGGAAGCAAAAACACACCACAAAACATTTTTATTTCTTTTGTTTTCTGACATTTTGCATCACCTGAGATGTAAGCACACTGAGTCATTAGGAAATATAAATGTCATTGGTATGGTACAGCCTGTTTGAAGGTGAGAAACATGCAATCGGAAAGAACTGTTCACATCCCTTAAAATGTCCCTAGTCACTCATGGGATCAGTGATTCCCAATCACTGGAACCTGAGAAAGAGCTATACTCACTCTTCTTACCACCATGGCTGCATATCACACTGTCTCTTCTGAGCAAAAGCTGACAGGCACTGACTAGTTTTATTTAGTCTGTTAAACTGATGCAGTGATAAGGAGCCAGGTTGCGTATCAACAGAGAGCAACTCAACAAAATTGGCTGTCTGTCAAAAAGTAAGGATGTTTATTGGGATAAATGGGGAAAAGAAGGGAAGAGTTGAACTTCTTTCTTTGCTGTGGTCTGAAAGTACATGATTTAGGACATGGTCACAAGGAATCCTAGTTCCCTGCCATCATGGTGGTAATATCCAGCTTTTCAGTATACTACCTCATATCCCAGAGAATCTGAGGATTATTTAAGACCATGGGGTATTAGCGTTAAAATGATCACAAATATAGAAAACAGATATTAATTTCCTGTATTTTTACTGATGTCAAGCCACTTGCTAAAGAAGAGACATTTATTAGAGCAGGTTATTAATGATAGATGGGTATGTTTTTCCTGAAGAAATCTATCCCACAGGACCAATGTTACCAGAACCATTTCACTTTACCTTGAAGGAAAATAGGGAGCCTTGATTAATAATTTCTGGGCCCATTCCTAGATCCATGGCAATATAGAAAAACTAATTTAGTGTAATCCAAGACAAATCAGTAAATGCAGCACAAGGCTGTCCTTGTCAACCAGGCTGTTGAAATGCGTGGGGCTTTAATTAGTCATAAATAGCACCATTTTCAGCAATAGTTGCTGTTATCTACATTCAGTCTGCTTAAAATACTAATTGAAAAGGCAAAACAACCAATGCTCTCGTCTTACCCTGAAGAACCAAGCCTGATTTCTCAATGGTGTAGAAAAAAGCGGAGAATGGAGAAACAGGCGATTTAGCAACCAGGAGCTGCAAAGCAAACATAACATATAAGCACACATATTTATAACACACTGATCAAAGCTGAAATCTGTAAAACAATCTCACCAAATTTAACTTCCAGAAGTAGTAAAGCATACTTCAGAAATAACATGGTAGTTATTGATCTAGCCCTATCACTTCTAAGTAACTGAGGTGTTCTCATACATATATATGGACCATACTACAATTTTAAAAGGACCCACAGGTCTTAAAAAAACACTGCTGGGAAAGCAGTAAGTTTTGCTTGTCTTACTGACATCTCTTTAAGCTTAATCATTCCTGCTGGTTCAGGCTGTTGCACTCAGAGACAATTTTGAGCAAAACTGCTACTGCCACTGTGTATGGCAATTTTTAATTGCCATTAGCCATTCCACAGATATGCTCCCTTGGCTTCTCAAAGAACTCCACCCATTAACTTCCTCCAGACCATGGAAGCAACATGTCCACCCCATAGGTCACCACACCAGGGATGGTAATATGCCATTGCAAGTATCTGGATGTTCTCTTTTGCAAAAGAGGTATTGACCAAGCAAAGCTTTATCCAAGGATCGTGTCTTTGGAATATCAAAATAGGAACTGGAATTCCCCCGCAGTGTATAACACAATTGAATTTAGCTTGGCATTAGGGTGTGATGGTCATTCACCATCAGGTCAGAAATACCCCAAGCTCCCTGGCTCCACTACAGAAGAACCATCCTCTGTGGAAGATGAACTGCAGCAGAGCTCTGGAGACAAAGAAATGGGCTTGTTGGCAGGGTAGGGAATGTGGGACCTGCAGGTGGCAAACTCAAACAAATGTGCCAGGCTTTATTTCTTGGTTGTTCGATTTTTGCTCATTGCCAAGGACTGCTCTCTCACAGGTTGCCTCAAAATAATCCCCATTCTGTTACATGAACCTACATGAAAGTGACATTTTAATGACAGATTTAACACATTCTGCCCAGAGTGTGATCAGCACAAACACTGATCTGCTGGTGCCTGTGTGGCCCTGCAAAAGCTGCTGGCAGCAGTGGCTGAAGCACAGAATGTGCTGTTGCTTTGCCTCTGGTGCAGAGCTGCTGAACAAACCTGAAACATGGTTCTTGCTCATCTCTTCAACAGCTAAAAAAGGACCATGTCTGGAAACCAGCCCTCCCAGCAGTGGCCGTGTCTGGGAGATCCTTCCTGCCTTCCTGGCCTGAGGACATGGTTTGGGTAGACAGTTTCCCTTCAGCTCATGCTGACATTCAGCAGGGATCCGAAGAGATCCTCTCAGTAGAGCCTCTACTGAGGACACAGAGCTGACCCGTTGACTTTCTTTCAGTGCACCGATTTCATCTACCCCATCTGTGAGGCTTGTTGAGCAGCATGCTGTGGAACCATCAAACACCTCAGTCCCTAAATTTCCAAAGCCCTGTAAGATACTGCACTCTCACAGTTCACAATAGGCAGCCCTCTGTCAGATACATTTAAGTACAGATTTCTTAGAACTACAGACAGTAACAATCTCATTTTTAGAGGTCCTAGCAGATCCTGGTGATTTCAAATGAAGTAAAAAAAAAAAACATTATTTCCAAAGGTCATGCCCTAATTCTGCCAAACATTCAAGCATTCATAAGGGTCACTGCATATAAATTTTGGTTGGTGGTGCCTAACAATCAGTGGGGAAACACTGAGCAGGTTTTACAAAACCCAAGAGAGACTACAGGAAAGCAACAATTTCGTGCTCACCCTGTAAAGTCAGACAGTATTGAATCACTTCACAGACATACAGGACTGGGACATTTATTCCTAAGAGTAAGAATAACAATATTAAGCACCAGAAGTTTGAGCTCTGCAGTGTCCTTAAGTATCCAGAGAATTTGGCAGCAAATTCTGCTGCGGTATCACAGCTCATGTGACTTTCCTGTAGCACTTGAAATGCTAAGGGTGTCTGCAGAGTAGGTAGGTTTCATTTGTATTTGTATGTAATCTGCAGACAGGACCATGCTTAGATGCTTAGTCTTCCAACTCTTTTCTCACCTGATTCTGATACAGGTTGAAGAAACAAAATCCTCATATCCGGTTCTTCAAATGTAACCATTATGACCCACAGCTAGCTAACAGTTTTATGGTTTTCAGCATTTAAACCAAACCAAAGAATCTCCCTTCTTCTTTGAATATGAAAAATAAAGGCAGGTATGTGAAGACCACAAATACAGCCAGAAAACATCAGACCAGTCCAAATGTCAGTGTTTTCCTTTCAGCCATATGAAGGTGGTAAAATCACCTCAGGATGCGATAGAAACTTTGTGAATACCCCAAGTAGGAAAACTCCTGTGGTTGCATTTTCCCCTCTTCCATGTTAATTACCATTCTCTCTGGGATGATCTTCTGGAGAAAAGGGCACATCATATCCCACATCCCTGATGCACCCTGACAAAACCCAAATTCTCTTGCCTGTCATTATCCCCAGAGCCAGCACTTCCCAATAGCACAGCAGGAGGGGGACTCTGCCAGGAGGAAAGAAGAGTGAAGTTGAGTGCCTCCAGGGGCTTTGCACACTCCCTCACCTCTGAGAACATGAGGGGGAGGATGGGTGGAAAAACTGTGCAAACACTCAGGTAGAACCTCCCACAACAGCTGGATGTTTAACTGGAAATATGCGAAGCGAAACAATTACAAAGTTTTTGTCTAAGGTCAAATTTTTGGCATTCCATGCACTTCTATGCACATAAATACTAACCTATATGTGCACTAGGCACACAGAGGTTACACATGCACATGGATAGACATTCAAATAACCATATGTATATTGTGTTGCCGCATTTTTATGCAGTTACAATATGTACATAACTAAGTATAGCAATGAAAAAATATAATAAATCACATTATTTCAGCAGCACATCATAGGGTTCCTCTCAAAGGCTGCTGCCTTTCACAGATGCACAGCTACATCTGAGGCTCTGAATTAGCTTCCTTCTTAGTGAAACAAGAACAGCTCAGAATATTCAAAGGTATTGCTTTATTTTGAATGTTTGCTTACTGAGAAAAAGAATCTCGAAAGTACGACTGCATATTTCAGAACCAGATAGAGCACATAGAATTCTTTTTTATAACACCAAACTCTACACTAACACAACATTTTTAAAAAAGAAGTAAATATGTATTTAGATTTGTTTTTCAACCAAAAAGAAAAAAACTGTAAAAGGTCATTGCAAACCATCCTCTGGTTGGAATAGACAACACAAAGTAGGTTCTTACATATAGACAAGGAACTCATAAAGCATAGAAGGAAATATATATCAAAAAAAGAGAATTATGTTTTGGAGGCCAGGAAGTGAAGGTAAAAGGAAGAATTACCAAAAATCAAGGTAATGTTGACCCTGGAAAGATCAACAATTTTAATATAATCAACATTAAAAAGGAAATAAAAGTTGAAGTTATCATGAAATGACATTGGATAGTGATTAAATGGATTCTAGATATAATTGAAGAAATAATCAGTTTTCTACAAGTAGGACAATACTGAAAAAGAAGAAGAGGCACATAACGGGAATTATCTATATCACATAGATACAAAAATATCAAATGAATGGAAAGAAAACTCCAGGAGCTTAGCACATTCAGCAGAAAGTAGATAATCTCTATAGGAAAAACACTGCAAGAATCAGCATATGAATCTAGGTTTGATAGCTAGTTTTGTCATGTATCTATGAATTTGAAGAAGATAACATAACTGAGAAGCAGCAAACATAGTCCTCAAAGGGAAGGGAAAAAAATGTAAACTAGTGAGTTGAGCCCTGCAACCTGATTTGAGTACCATGCAGGGCTTTAGAAGAAATTTTGAAGAGAAGAATAACATCACTTGGATGCAGGAGTCAAAGCCATACTAGGTAAGTTTGCTGATGATACTAAATTGTGAGGAGCTGTTGACTCCATCAAAGGCAGGGAGGCCCTGAAGAGAGACCTTGAAAAATTGGAGAGATGGGCAATCACCAACCACATGAAGTTCAACAAATGAAAGTGCCAGATTCCACACCTGTGATGGGGCAGCTCTGGATGTTTGTACAAACTGGGGAATGAGATGCTGGAAAGTTGTGCCATGGAAAGGGACCTGGGGGTCCTGGTTGATGGCAAGTTGAATATGAGTCAGTAGTGCCCTGGCAGCCAGGAGGGTCAACCCTGTCTTGGGGGGCATCAGGGAAAGCATCGCCAGCCAGTTGAGGGCGAGGATTGTCCTGCTCTGCTCTGCACTGGGTCAGCCTCACCTTGAATATTGTGTGCAGTTTTGGGTGCCACAATATGAAAAAGACATAAAGCTATTACAGAGTGTCCAAAGGAGGGCCATGAGGATGGTGAAGGCAAGCTGGATGAGGAGTGGCTGAGATCAGACACTTGGCTTGTTCAGCCTGGAGGAGACCTCATTGCAGTCTACAACTTCTTGTAGGGGAAGTGGAAGGGAGGGTATTGATCTCTTCTCTCTGGTGACCTATGACAGGACCCGAGGGAAAGGCCTGAAGTTGTGTCAGGAGAGGTTTAGGTTGGATATTAGAAAAAGGTTGTTCACCCAGAGGGTGGTTGGGCACTGGAACAGGCTCCCCAGGGAAGTGGTCACAGCACCAAGCCTGACAGAGTTCAAGAAGCATTTGAACAATACTTCAGGCCAGGAGTTGGACTTGAGTCCCTTCCAATGCAGGATATTCTATTCTTCTATGAACTAAAGACTTGGAAAATGGGGTAAAACAAAACATGGATGGCATGTCAGACATACCTGACACTCTCCTTTGATTTTTTTTAGCAATCTCATACACATTTGAACTCATCTCTTTGGATGTTAAAAGCTTTTAACACTGTTAAATGGGAACTGATAATGAAAAAAACAAGCATAGGCATAGAAGCTGTAGGATAAAAAGGGAAACAGTCAGTTATTGAAAAGAAGACACTTCCTGGGTATATTAGTACCTCATCAGATTATTGACCCATAAGGTGATGTTGCCAAGACAACGGCGGATCCAGTTGTACAGTGC